TTTACTTGATCTTTACAGCTCGGGGCCACACTTTTTAGTACAAAGTAGTGGTGCACCAAATCATCTGAAAAATTCTTCTGAAGTCGCGTTATGTAAAAGAAAATCAAGATCATTTTCTTTAGTAAACTTCCAACTTTTTTTGCTCAGCTTATTTATTGCATATCAAGTCACGTTAACCATATTTTTCTTTTTAAAATGCGAAGCTTCACAATAATAAGTGTTTCTGATCTTTGAACTACAGCGTACCTGTTACTAGAGAATCTAGGATCTTTGTACTTTCAAAATAGTGTTATTCAGAATCTACAAACAGTACGTGATAAACAGCTGTAGAATTTTTGTTATTTGATTATTTAGCAGACATTTTTCAACTTTTTATTGAATGGAGTAGTTGGTGGTTGCTATTTTTTCACCCATGTTACGTCTCAGTCGTTTGTAGACGCAAAATTGCTTAGATATGGTGGCCATAGTTATCCTTTTTAAGAACTTTGCATGTTCTGTACGCATTTTCTTTTTGAAAATTTTCATTTCTATTTATACTTGTTTGGAAAGTCCAATACGAAGTAGAAGTGGTAGCGTTCTCGTAGAAAAAAACAAACATTGGTCTCTATGGTGAAAATAAGTTTTGCAGGCCGGAGTGCGCTCGCGTGCTTCTTTTCCGAGGTGCGAACCACTTGTCCGTGAACAAGCAGGGTCAAACTGCCCTTCACGTTGCACATATTGTTGGTAGCACTGCCGTTGCGGATATCATCGCATCTCATAATCCGTCTACAAGCGGTGAGTCAACGTCAAACATCTTTTTAGTTGGTCCTTTTTGGAGTAATTCCTCCGTTTGGTGAGAGTTTCAGAGATGATGTAGGGAAGTCTGAGCTTTAACAAGTCGTGAGAAAGGTGTGAGAAAAAAAGTGTATTTGCACCTAAGAAACAGACTTTGTTGTGCTGTACAGGAATAGCAAACTTTGCTTCATCATTTCTACATTTTACATATTGACTGTAACGGCTAGTTTTTACTCAACCTAAGGCTTGTATCTGAAGCTGGAACACACACACTGTTATGTAAGGCGTGCTATTTGCAGTCCCC